AGCCTTTACTGACCCATGGCGGAACCCTTCCTTCCTGGTCCTGCTCTGGCCTAGGGAGAGAGCGCTGCACTGCCAACGTCCGCACACCTCCACCGTGTTGCTGAGTGACGCTCAGGATGGCCTGGCAGCGTCTGCAGGCTCTGGGCACCTGACCTGTCCCTGCCAGGTGATGACTAAAAAGCCACAGAAGTATGGTGCTGCAATGACTGTAATTAGAGGTAGCCTCTGTCCTGCCTGGGGCATTAATCCCTAGAGGCCTTAAAGACGTAATGTGTGTATAGACTCTGTGTGGGCACAGACTGCCTCCCACTTGGGCAGGCAGTCACTACACAACCTAACCTCACACCTTTCCTAGGCGTAGAGTCACACAGAAACATCCCCGCTAGCCTAGACTGTAAATACAGCAACCTTAGAGCTGATCTCTCCATCTCAGACTGATGAGGCAGGCAATGTGCAGTGGAAGACAAGAGTAAGTTCACAAAATGCAGTGAGAGCAGGCAGGGTGGAGAAGGCTCCAACACAAGCACACCCATCCTAGCACCAGCCAGAGAGCAAGCATGTGGCAACCCGGGGCAGAGACAGAAAGAAGCCAGAGCAGATGGCTACTGAGGTCTGTGGCAAATCAGAAGGCCAAAACCAGAAAGGGAAGCCCATGAGAGAACCAGGAGCCAACCTGCCAGGCTGAAGTTGGAGGGAGCTGTGCCAGTGTGGAGAGACTGCTAACATGGAAGGGGGTCCTAAGGACGTGGCCTGCTGCCTGCTCTGGTTCTCACCCTGCTAGCTTTAGCGCAGCTCTCCAAAGCTAGCTGCTGAAGCCCAAGGCAGACGACCACATGCTTGGAGGTGGCTCTATGCCAGTTCTCTGAGTTCACATGAATTCTGCCCCAAGACCAGGGGCAGGTCCTCAGGTGGTGACACCCACACTGCTCTTACAGAAGTGCCCTTCTGCAAAGGGCTATGCAGCATGTAGATGACTCCTGCCATTGACTGGGACGGGGGTCAGAAGCCCAGCTATCCGAAGCCTGGGGCCAAGCCTCCTCTGAAGACAGGCTGTGTGCCGATGACAGCTGTATCTGTGAGGATAGTCCCTGGTAGCCTGCTGGACTCTGGGACGGAGCACTTAGAGGATCTAGTGTGTGGCGTTCTTTGCACTCTAGGCAGCTGAACTGACCTGGGGTTCCTGTGGTGTTGCACTGCCAGCTGTAGATTAAGTTAGTGTGTGGTTGAACAGGCCTGGTCAGTGGGTGTGGGCTGTACAGTGTAGGATGTTGTACAAGGCCCAACTCCCCTCTCAGAAGTCTCTGCGTGAGTGGGGAATGTGGCCTGTCCTGAATATGGAAACGTTGCTGAACACCAAACAGAGAGCTGGTATCTCCAGGAGACTTTGCTGGGGCTCTTTCTCACATCTTAGGCAGGGCCTAAGCCACTGTAGTCAGTGGGGGTGACAGGACTGAAAAAGAGCAAGGCCATGTGGCCCTGGAAGACATGTCCCGGCAGCAGAGCTGACTCTGTCCACAGATGTCGTGAGCATTATGAAGAGGTCAGACTCGCCATGTCCATAATTCAGAAGCACCTACTGTCAACAGCATCAGACGTGGTGTCACTACAGAAGTAGCATAGTTGGGAGAGAGAGCTCCCACCTATCCATGCTGTGTCCCTGTCACTCAATGAAGTCCACACTTCATTCTGACTTCCAAGTCTTCTCTGTCCTTGTGCTCTCCAGAATCTCATCCAGGGCACAGCACAGTCTGCCATCTTGTCTCCTCTGGCTCTTGGCTGTGAAGGTTCTTCAGAGTCTTGTTCTAACAACCTTGAAGAGGATCAGAAGTTCTGTGCAATGTCCCTTACCTAGGTTGTGTCTAATGTTTTTTCCTCTGATGAGACCTGGGCTACCATTTTGCTGCTGTTTTGTGTGTGGCAAGTGATGGTTAATGGGGTTTAAGCAGGCCAGTGAGGAGTTATGTACATGAAGCTTAATCAAGTAGGAAGGCCCATTCTAAATATGAATGGTGCCATTCCATGGGCTGGGATCCTAGACTGAGGAACAGGTTAACTCAGGAGAGTAGAGACATTCATGCCACTCTGCTTATTGATAAGGATGCAATGGGACATGCCACCTCAAGCTCCTGCTGCTATGACTTTCCTACTATGATGGACCTTGAGCCAGAATAAACTGCCTCCCTGGTTCCTTTTCTCTGGGCATTGTATCACATCAACAAGAAAAGAAATCCAGGAGACGACACAAAGTGTCCCTCTCACCATGTGTCATCAGGCTTGCATGCTAGCCTGACTTCCTCACCTAGGGAGAAGCTGACAGGTAGAGCTTCTGCAACAGGCCTACCAGGGAAGTTGGCTGGCTGGTGATCCCAGGGCATGCGGAGCTCTGTTTCAAGTGGACTATATGCTGCAGTGTGTTTGGTGGTAATTCTTCTATGTCCACTTTGTGAACTAATCCCCAGTCAATCTGATTAACACGTCCATCACCTTGAACACTGTGTATACAGAACACTTAAAGGGTATCTGAGAACCTTTCTGAGGAACTTTCAAGTAGAACTACTGAGTCGGGACTACTCATAACTATAAGACTGGACCTTTTGTCCAACATTCCACATGCCCAACATGCTAGATGAAGTATGATGAGAAACATCTGTCTTGGTGATGGCCTCTGTTCCTCAGTGCCATGTTCTTAGAGGCACGTGTTTTAGGATCATACGCAGTAGGTTTCTGAATGTATTATGCTGGACCTTGAGATGCCCCAATGCAGGAGAGGCCAATCCTCTCCTGCTTTCAGCTTCCCTGAGACACAGGTGGCTGCTGTTCTGATGGGTAGAGGGCTTTGGCAGGGAGGCATCTACCTCGTGGACTTTCCTAGTGTTCACATTCAGACTGAAACCCAGATGGAAAGGGAACAGTCCTTTCTTGATTAGGTTGCTGGCTGCATGAACTCTATTCTTCATTTTATTTATAAAACTTCATCAAGCTATATATTTCATATGTTAACAATTTTTTAAAAAAGCTGAAAATAAAACTCCTGTAGTCAACAATGTTGTGGTTCACCTTTTAGTTTCTTTTGAGACAGTATCTCATGTAGTTCAGGCTGGCCTCCAGCTCACTATGTGGCTGAGGATGACCCTGAACTCCTGGTCCTCTTGCCTCTATCTCTCCTATGCTGAGATTCCAGGCCTGCACTCCTACATTCCCAATGTTGTACAACCATCACCACCCATCTCCAGACACTCTGCACAAGTTAAACACTAACTCCAAAGCCCTGTGAAGCCTCTGCTCTACTTCTGCCTCTGTGAATCAGACTATTCCAAGGAACTCAAACAGCTGGACTCCTGTAAGAGCTTCCTTGTGACTGGCTGATTTCACATAGCACAAAGCCTTCAAGGTCCATCCATGTCGTAATAGGTGGCAGGTGTGCCTTCCTCGCCAAGGCCAAAGAGTAATCCGTGGTATGTCTGCACAGGCACCTGTGTTTATCCAGTCATGCATTCCTTCAACAGCTGAAAATTCTGGTACACAGATACCTGTTTAAGCTTCTGCTATCAGTTCTCTGGGGAGACCTGGGTGCAGGATCACTGTGTCCCCTGGTAGAGTTAGGCTTTCTTCAGAGCAGTCACATCACTGTAGCGTTCCCAACTGGAAATGCCTGAAGATGCCACTCTAATTCTCAGTGTTGCTTTACTGGTTCTGCAGTAGCCAGCCATCTAGGTAACCACAGTGCGGTGGGCATTGTCCCAGGTGCTTCTGAGCATGCGTACATCATCCTTGGAGAAGTGTCCACCCAATTCCTTCACCCATCTTTTAACTGGATGGTTTAGCTTTGTTGTCAGTCCTAAGAATTCTTTATGTATTCTGAATACTTAACTCTTGCCAGATACATCCTAACCCCAACTTTCTCCCATTCTGTGAATCATCATTGTACTTTGACAGTATCCTTTGATGCACAAGTTTTAAACTTTCATGCAGTCCAATTTATCTATTTTTTCCTTTTGTTGTTTTGGTGTCATATTCAAAACGTTATTGCAAGGTCTTATGTCACAAATGGGACTCACTTTGACCCCTTTACAAAGCTGTCCTCTAAGAATCTCTAACTAACTGTTGTGGTTTAGACAATTTGTCTTCCCAAAAGACTCATGTGCTTGACACTCAGCTGCTAGTACTATTTGGGAGGCTCTGGAAACTGTAGGAGATCCTTAGAGCTGTCTTGATCCCCATGTTTCTTGTGCATCATGGGTAGACAGCCACTGCCAGACATTCTTGCCACAGTGATCTACCTGCCTGACCGCAGGCCCAGCACCACAAAGCTACATGAAAGCACAATATATAACAACTCCCTTTTTTTCTCAGATATTTTGTCACAGCAACAAGAAACTAATATATTAACCAAAACCTTTTTGAAGTGAATTCTTTGACCTGTTACAATGAATGGCACTGTCACTGCTTAGGAGCATGTTGTTACTGGAACTGGACTTCTCTCCCCAAGACGAGACAGGCAGTGACTACAGCATGAGAAGCAGGACACCCAGTTCTAACTGTGTGTAGTGGTAGCAAGCCATGTGCTTGCAAGGTGGCACTTCCATTCTGCAAGCATGTCTTCCCTCCATGTACCTGTTGTACAGCAAGGAGGGTTTGGGGTCTGTGCTAGCTGTGGCCCGATTGACCTCCATACCCTGGGGCAGCATCCTGGGCCTATGCTCTCAAAGGCCAGGACCCTCAAAGTGATAATCTACCTTTCATTTAGAGTGTAAATATTAAGTACAGGTTGGGAAAAAAGCAACTTACATGGGTGACAGCTTCCCAGGCAATTGCATGGCATTCTGGGGTCCAGAGCAAGAGGCTAAGAAGAAGGCGCCTGGCCAGCTGTCCACATACAGGTGGTCTGGGGTCAGTACTGGGGCTCTCAGCTGCTTTCTGCAGATCGATAGCTGAGAGGGGGTCACTTCTGAGCAGCATCAGGAGACGGTTGAGCAATACCTTCAGCTCTACCTGGGTAATACAAGTACAGAGGGTGAGGCCCTAGAGAGGACTCGACGGGAGTGACTCTAGGATGTGTTTGATGCTTTGAAGCCCCAGAGAAAGGAACAGCCAGGCACCCAAGCTCGGCTAATTCACACATACAGCTCTACATAAACCCAAATGGGTTTAATGGAAATTTCTTGACTTTCTTTCGTCTTGCCCACCAAGCAGCCAGGGCGCTATGCCAGGACCTGACCTTTTCTTTTTATATGAAAGCAAATGAAGGCAAGTCCTCAGCAGAATGTAGTCAGAATTTTCTTATTGTGGGTAAAACAAAAGGCCCCTTGAAGACGACCCCTCAATATCAGCCCCAATCAGTTAGAGCCACAGGCCCACTGGGCGGTGCCTGGGCTGGTTGAGGGAAGCCCAGGCCACACACACACAAGCTCATCTGTTTTGTTGCAGACACTGGGACAGTTGTTCGTACATGCTCACAGCTCAAGCAGAGGTCACAAGTCTGTGGAATCCACATAATAACAGTAACTGTTCAAAGTCCGTGGGTTGTTTTTGCATAAAAAATATTTATTTCATGCTGAGACTCCTGTGGCTCACAGAGCAAGGCAGATGCAGCGCAGAACATCACACTGATGGTCCATCCTGCCGAAAGGCTCTTCGAGACTGTGGTGAGAATTCCCACGGTTTATTTTGTGGGTCTCTGAGAGCTGCTTCTCCCCTGCATGTTTAGGCCCCATTCAGTGCCATCTGTCATGGATAGCAGCACACTAGGAGTGTTGTGTGAGTTCTCCTGACTGCAAGGGTGACCGTGAGAAAGGCACCACGGCACTTTTCCACTGAGAGGAGCAGTGTTCCCAGGATAGCTACCACCTCAGCTATGACATCTGAAGAGAGGCTGAACCTCATCTCTCCCTCGATCCTGTTTTGTCCACACTGACTTCCTCTCACATGACTGCTATGTCCAGAAGCTTCTATAAGGGAGATGTGTGTTCTTTGAAGTAAGAGATAAGCCTTTTGTTCTCATTTTCATTCGTCATTATAAAAATTTACTTTTGCTCACTATGGAAAACATGAAGATTAAAAAATGATTTAAAAAAAAAACCCACCACTCATCCTCTGAAGGAGCCACTGGGCACCCTGTGCTCCCCGCATTGGGAGTAACTGTTTACTGCTGCTGTCCAACGGTCATGTGCCTAAGACTATCTGGCAACAGGACGGACTCTTCCTGGTAGTGTGCCAGTCCACGGCTGGGACCCAGCACCACTTACTCAGTAGCAGCTTATGCAAGCTCAGGCCATTTCAGATCCCGCAGCGATGAACTCAGCTTTGATGCCCATTGTGCGCAAGCAGCTTTGTGTGAATCTCTGCCTTTCCAAAAAGATTCTTACAAGTGAAAAGACAGTGTCCGAAGGGTTTGAAGCCCTGACCAAGGCAAGGGGTACATAAAATACAGTCTTAAATTCATGGTCCAATTTAGTTAGCCAAAGCAGATGAACACCGCTGGCAAAGGTGTACCCCAGGCAGGACAGGTATGCCACTTTACCCCACAGTCCTTACCCCAGCAGAGGACTGTCAGCACAGTGTTGTGGGAATTTGCTCTGCCAGAAGATCCAGCTGCCCAAGGAGCAAAATGCCAGCAGACCAGTAACACCATGGCCATGTGGCAATATATAGATTAATAGAAATGAGTTTATTAAAGATATAAGAACTAGCTAGTAATAAGCCTGAGTCACAGGCCAAACAGTTTGTAATTAATATCAAGCTTCTGACTGGTTATTCGGGAACAAGTGGGCAGGAGAGATTCGTCTGTCTACAGCACAGCACTTGCAGCTAAGTGACTGACAGTGACTTACTATTTTTAAGTTAAGGCAAAGGCACAAGCATCAGCAAACTCCAGAGTCCTATTATCACCCTGTGCTGCAACACTGAGTTCACCTGTACTCGAGTTCCTGCTGGCCACCAAGGGGTCAACATGTCTACATTAGCACGTAGGAAGACGCCTTCCTCAAGTATGGCACACACCAGCGGCTCTAGTCAGGGCATCATTAGTAAGGGGAAGCTCTGGCTTCTAGGACTAGGCAGTAGCTGCCTCTGAGTGACCAGCTAAGGAGTGAAAACAGGTAATACCAAACTACTCTGAATGGAGTAGCCTGCTTTTATTCAGGTGTCTAATCACCCCAAGAAAGACCAAGGCATACTTTAAAGAACGAGAAATACTCCTGAATCCAAGTTAGCTAATACTAAAAGGTGCCTATAGCTGAACTTTCTAGAAATTAAATCCATTTTAAAAAGAAAAAAATTAAATTTGTGTGTCCATATGCACACACATGTGCAGCCCATGTACACAGAACATGTATGGAGGTCAGAGACTACTTTAGAAGTTAGTTCTCACCTTCCATGATGTGCCCCATGATCAAACTCAGGTTGTCAGGCTTGGCAGCTAATGTCTTTACTTACTGAGCCATCTTGCTGGCCCCTATAAATTAAATCTTACAGGACTGCTCAGACACTACTCTGTATTTCAAAAGTCAGTCTCTGTAAGTATCTATGATCCATATGGATTAACACATACCTACCAATTTAGTTTACAAAGAATCTAATTCAAAATGCAAATGAAAGGGCCAGTCTTTCATACACCTTAATCATTCCTACTAAGAGATGAAAGCCATGAACTAGGATTGTCCTTAGTCAGTTTAATGCAATATATATTTTTAATTTGTATTTCACTTATTTGTGTATAGGTGGCATGTGAAATACAATGTGTGTGTGAAAGTCAGAAGTCAACTTTTGGGAGTTGGTTCTCCTTTTCCATTATGTGGATTCTCGGGGTTGAACTCAGGTCTTCAGTCTTGGTGGCCAATGCCATTATCTGCTGAGTCATCTCACCAGCCAAATGTGATCTTTTAAAGTGAAGACTGTTTTCCTTTGAATTAAGCAGCAATCTTGAAATACATATGTAGATGATAACATCTTTAAAATGCTTTATTCTGATCCAATATTATCCTCAACTTTCAATTCTTTTAATTCCAAGGCTCATCTTCACCATGCTATGGAAATCTTTAAGTCAGTGGTTCTCAACCTTCCCAATGATATGACCCCTTAACACAGTTCCTTGTGTTGTGGTGACCCGCAACCATCAAATTATTTTATTGCTACTTCATAATTAATTTTGCTACTCTTATGAATTATAATGTAAATCTCTGTGTTTTTCTGATAGTCTTAGGCAACCCCTGTGGAAGGGTCTTTTTACACCCCCACAAGGGGTCCTGACTCACAGGTTGAGAACCACTGCTTTAAGCAAATGAAACACAAGATTGCACTCACCTCTGATTTGGGACAAACAGGAGCGCTGTTCCACACACACTAAAACCTGTTTCTTTTAATCACTAAAGTGGGCAAAAAGCACCGGAGACTGAAGGCTTTGTTTTGCTTTTTGTTTTTTTGTTTTTGTTGTATTTCTTTGTTTTAATTTATTTTTATTTCACGTGCATGGTGTTTTGCCTACACATAGTTCTGTGTGAGGGTGTCAGATTCCCTGGAACTGGAGTTACAGACAGCTGTGAGCTATCATGTGTGCTGGGAATTGAACCCAGGTCCTCTGGAAGAGCAGCCAGTGCTCTTAACCACTGAGCCATCTCTCCAGCCCTAGACTGAAGTTTTTAAAAGCCAGCAAGTAAATGTTTGCAAGGAGGTGGCAAAGCTTTAATCAAAGCATGGCTTCCTGAAATAACTACATTCTACATAAATAACAGCATCTTTTCCATAGACATCTACCTGGTCCTATGCACAGAAACCCTGTTATTTAGAGACCAAATGGTTAAATCATGTGATTACCTCAGTACAAGTCTGGCTGATGCAGGAAAGTGCTAAGTGGGGTGAAAGCAGACTGGCCAGGCTGTTGGTGGGAAAGAGAAGAAGACACGGACTGCCTCAGGAGCAGCTGTCACTCCTGATTGGGATCTCCTAAAGCACGGAGCCCTGGGATGAGGCACAGGGGTAAATGAGGGCAGCTGAGGCAGCTGAGCAGAATAACCTGGGATCAGATAACCCCAAGAACAGAAGGCCCAGACCATGAGCAGCCTGACGGCTGGGGCAGCCTCTTGTCTCAGGTCCCTGTGGAGGCAGGAAAACATCATGGGCTACAAGCTCAGTCCAAGTGGATTGCACACATACCCAACACATATTACAAGTGCTCTGAGTCCGGGTGCCTGGGGGGTTCAATAAAGGTAAACCCAGTAAAGGTCCCCCTTCTCTGGGTGTTCTCTTCTCCCTGAGGCCCGACCCTGAGCACACAGTAGGGCCTGCACCCACCATGCTCTGCACTCTCCGCTGACTCCCATCCTGTGGGCTGTAATAGAACACCAAGAGCCACAGCAGGCCTGCAGGGGGCTCAGCTTCCTTCCTCAGCAACTGCTCCACTGCCAGATCAACCCATCCTCCAAAGTGAACAAACAGAAACCAACTCTCGAAGGGACCTTGCTGGGACCTGGAACAGAGCAAGACATACACATGGTAGCTGGCAACCTCCACCCTTCTTCCTTTTGTTCAAAGTAACTTTAATGTTTGTGAACTTGTACTTCAAATTGTACTTTCCCACTGAAGAAAGATCCTCAGAGAAACAAACTGGATTCAGAAAACCTTTGTGTCTCACCCTAAGCCTATCACAGGACAACCAAAGGGACCATCCCAAGCCCACGTGTACTGAAGACTAAGGATATTTAGGTCTTTATATCCTGGTATCTATAGAATTCTAGGCTCCAAGAGTGACTGGGGGCAGGGGTGGGGCGGCGACTCACAAAGCATAGTAAGACCCTGCAACTTGCCACTCAGGTGGCTCCAGCATGAGGAGGTGGCTACATAACACAGCAGAAAGGCACCATTCTGCCAAGTGGCTCTGGTCTGCCTGTCTTGTCATCAAACGGACACTCTGGCAGGAAGGTCAAAACTTTTTCCAAGCTATCCTCTCACCCTCCTGAAACTTGGTAGTGTAATGTGTATTCAAGGATGGACTCTGTACCATCACTGTAGCTCTGACAGTCACAACATGACAGCATTGCCCCAGGAGACAAAGGCCCCGGGTGGGAACTTTCATCTGGACAGGAGCATCACGGCCTTTGCAGTGTCTGCAGGGCTTGTGGAATCCCCAAGTTCTAAGCATGGTTCTTGCTTTCTGGCCACTGCCGTCCCATACTTCCCTTAGAACATTTGACTTATGTGTTTTAAATCAAGTTTGCAGGACAATGAAGGGAAATCCTTAATCCCTGTCAGAGGGAGGGCAACTCATCACTGCACAGAGCTGAAGGGGCAGGGCTGCCCAAGTCTCTCCCACAGATTTCACCAGCAAGTATACTGAGCAGCCAACCCTACTCACAGCACAGACCTGCCTGGCCTGACCTTCCACTCTCTTCTTTCAGGGGGAAAAAAGTCTTATACCTGCTTCCCACCCTGTCCTGCAGGGAGAGCCCAGGGCCCACTGGGTGCACAGGCACTGACAGCTGTAACTCAAAGTTTTCCTGTGCCCACCCAGCCCCCCATGTCTTTGCGGTCCCACAGCCACTCAGACCCAAATGAACACACAGAGGCTCATATTAATTACAAACTGTATGGCCTATTGGCTCAGGCTTCTCACTAGCTGATCTTACATCTTAAATTAACCCATTTCTATAAATCTGTATTTTGCCACATGGCTCGTGGCTTACCGGTATCTTTACATCTTGCTTCTCATGGTGGCAGACAGCAGCGTCCTCTCTGCCCTCTCAGCCTTCCACTTCTGTCCAGGCAGCCAGCTGTCTCTATCATTCTAGATTTTTAGAAGTTGAATTTCCTGTTTACTTAGGTAATATTATATCCTTTTGGGGTCTCTGATGTACTTGAAGACTAGATAGTTATAATTATGGTTTTCCTTGGTTTTGATAGAAGATAAGGTAGATATGAAACCTTGGACTCACAAATATAGGATAGATAGGATATCTTCTTTGATTTTTGCCAAATACAAATAGACTAAATATTATAATTCTTGCTTGATAACTGTTCTATTATATATAATTTTACTATGTTAAAGCTAAACCCTTCCTTTTGATTACACAGAAAAGGGGAGGTGCTGTGGGATGTTCTATGTGCTGTGAATATGTGTTGCTCTGATTGGTTGATAAATAAAAAGCTGATTGGCCAGTAGCTAGGCAGGAAGTATAGGTGGGATAAGCAGACAAGGAGAATACGGGGAAGAAGAAGGCTGAGTCAGGAGACACCAGCCCACTGTCTAGGGAGCAGCATGTAACGGCACACAGGTAAAGCCATGGAACACGTGGCAACATATAGATGAACAGAAATGAGCTGAGTTTAAGTGTAAGAGCTAGTCAGTAGTAAGCCTGAGGTAATGGCCAAGCAGTTTTAATTAATATAAGCTTCTGAGTGATTATTTTATAAGTGACTGTGGGGTCCGTGGGGCTGGGCAGGACCAGAGAAAACATCAGCTACAGACAGTGACCCCACCTGACCCCTAGCCTTTTGTTTGAGGAGTGTCTGATGGACAGAGCACTCAGTTCATACATGTGAACACAGCAGACAAGAGAATCCTAGAGGGAAGAGTGACAGGAGGGGCTTGTCACACAAAACGTGCTGTCATTTATCCTCTGAACATGGGCAAGCTCCGAGGAAGTTGGAGGTATTATGAAGAAGGTGGCAAGCCCGTATGGGAATGCTTTTGGAGACTAGTACCTAGAGGAGGGCCTCTGTAGCTAGAGTTTTCCTGCCTTGCCCACAGTCAGGACAAATCTTTGTCACCCGTCCGTCCCACAGCCACTCAGACCCAACCAAGTAAACAGAGACTTATATTGCTTACAAACTGTATGGCCGTGTCAGGCTTCTTGCTAACTGTTCTTATAGCTTAAATTAATCCATTTCCATAAATCTATACCTTGCCACGTGGCTCGTGGCTTACCGGCATCTTCACATGCTGCTTGTCCTGGCAGCGGCTGGCAGTGACTCCTTCTGCCTTCCTGTTCTTTCTTTTCTCCTCTCTGTTAGTCCTACCTATCCTTCCTGCCTAGCCACTGGCCAATCAGTGTTTTATTTATTAACCAATCAGAGCAACACATTTGCCATACAGAACATCCCACAGCAGGCCTCCACCATGCTGCATGGAATAATTTCTTCTAGGACAGGTCTGTTAGCTCTGGAGACATTTGTTTACTTATTTTTAAATTTATGCATGTGTCTGTTTATATGTGTTTGTGCATGTAAGTGGCCACAAAGACCCAAAAGGAGTATCAGAACCTCTGGAACTAGAGTTATATGGAGTTGTGAGCCACCTAATGTGGATGTAAGGAACCAACCCTGAGTCCTGTACAAGAACAGCAAGTGTTCTGAATCACTGAGCCATCTTTCTAGCCCTTGGAGAGATTAAAGAAAATAATTTTAAAAAATGAAAAGCGGGTAGGATACAAATGGTTAACATTTCCTCCCACTGGCCAAAAGCTCAGTCTCCTTCCTTAAGGGAACCAGGGACACCTTCATGTGGTAGCCAGGGGCTCAACATGTGGGGGCATTGTTCATTTCTGGAGTCTCTCTCCTTTGCATATTTCAAACTGTAAATGCAGACCTTACTAGAACTGACTATGCAGACACACTTGCAAAGCTGGCTGCTCACTCTGACCCACACAGAGCGATCCTGAAGCTCCACACTTCCTCCACCTCTTGCCTACTGACAGTGAGTGTGTGCACTTGTTTGTCTGTGATGGTCGAGCAAAGCCTTCAGCTGCCAACCTGCTCAAAGAGAGGTCAGGGAGGCCACCTGTGAGAGGGTCAAAGGTGGTGAGAATTTGCTCACCCATGAGTATGGTCTTCAACTGCTTCTCTGAGGAGTTGGGAAATGTGCAGCAGCGGCTGGAGCCGATGTCTCTGTGGGATAGCTGTGGGTGGAAAGAAGTCAGAGGAGGAACTGAAGGAAAGCCAAACTCATGGGGAGACGCCTGCAGCTTAGACTGAAAGCATTGTACAGAAATGCCCCCACCCCCGCCATTCACAGAACTCATGTCATACTTCTCTCAACCAGGATGTCTGTGTCTGAGTCAAACTTGAAAGTTTCTTTTGTTTTCTTGTTTGAGACAGGGTCTTACTATTATAGCCCAGGATGCCCTTAACTCACTATGTAGCCCAAATTGGCCTTGAACTTACTATTTGTCCACCTCTGCCTTCCGGGAACTGGGACTACAGCCCCGCACAGCATGCCTGATTTCAAGTGCTTTAACTTGAAATCTTTAACTAAGGTGCATGGAAGTCAGTAAAAGAGTCCCTCCACACCCACCCTAAAACTTGGACTGCCTTGTTGCCAGATGCCCTGCATTTTCTTTTTACCACATTCTGACTCCATCTCAAATTTGTGACATCAAAATACAAAGGGATCATACTGAATATACAAGCAAGGGCAAGAAATGGCTAGCTTACCTGTTTTTGGGGGGTGTGATCAGGCGGGGGGAGGGGGGGAAGCACAGAGAACTGTGCAAAAAAGCTTGATTGTTAAAGTGTGTCTGATTTCACACCTGCCTTTGAGCATCTGACCTGCATGTATCTTGGTTATAATCAACCACATGACAACCAGAGGTGGAAGCCACCGCTGCTCCTCCATAATGAAGACCTGGGTGCACAGCATCCCCTCCCTCAGGCCCATGACTTAACTTCTGAAGGCAAGTGGAATTTCCTCCTTACTAGTCACCAAGACACTACTTTTCTTCTCCTGTAGTTCCTGAAGGTCATCACTTGGCAGTAACTTTTTATGACCAGGACCTCACCATGAACATGAAGGACAGTTCTGATGAGCACAGGCTTACACTCCTAACATAACCAACTTCTCTCCAAAGCAATGCGTATACAAACTGTCCTCAGGATCAACACCTGACTTCTCTGTTTTTGCTTAAAGTCACTTGTTGTCTTTGAGGGATGAGAAGGCAGATAGCCTGAGTTCATGCTGTGGGACATGACTGAATTGCATCTGGGTTTCATAACCTATCCTCCAGTGTGTTGAGGTTCTCAGACTACTCCACAGCAGGTCTGGCCTTACACCGTGGTCTGAGGACAGTTGTAGTCCTCAACTTTCTATTCTGCTAAACTTTTCCTACTGTGTCCCAAATCCCAAATGAATGAAAAAAAAAGACAGACAGACAGACAGACAGACAGACAGACAGAAAGAAAGAAAGAAAGAAAGAAAGAAAGAAAGAAAGAAAGAAAGAAAGAAAGAAAGAAAGAAAGAAAGAGAAAAGAAGAAAGGCTGTGAGTGCTCCTGGGTATGGTGGAGGAGAAGATTTAAAAACCACCGTGCAGGCATCCCACCGAAGCCACTGTGCTCACCCAGCTCTGTCACGGGGTTTTGTCATGGACGTCACCTGGAGCAAGAAGCTGCATCTTCTACACAAAGGAAAAGGTATCTAGACTTTGTAAAATGCTTTGAAACCCTGGATTGTCTGCTTACCTCAAACAGATCTTACTCAAGGACAGGGGAAGCAGCCACAGTGGCCACAGCAGGAAACATGAGCCCTCGTCCATCCCTCCCCTTCCTGTCACAGGCCTTGTCTACAGACTGTCGGCTGGCGTCAGAGGGAAATGTCTCCTTTATACTCCATAGCTGAGACATTCCCTAAACATGAGCTCATAGACACTGCCGCAGATCAACACCAGTAGATTACAGACATGGCCTAGGGAAGCAGACTGGCAGATGAATCAGAAAAGACTGGGGCCTAACAATAGAATATTACTGAATCTTTTCAAAATCTTCTTCTTGGCTTGTATGAAAAAAGTCTCCCTAAAATTCTATGGCCTCATTCTTCACTTTATCCTTTGTTCTGTAACAAGGCTGCATGGAGCAAAGAAAGGAAAAACAAACAAAGGTACTGTTGTACTCTGACTCAGCTTGTCCCTGAGTCTCAGCGAAGCTGTTATCAGAGGCTGACTGACTATCCCAGGAGCCGGGCTCTCTACTTTTCCCTTATCATACCTGGACACAAAGCAGGGTCTCACATAAAACTCCACACAAACTTTCTTCTGAGGAGGAAGAGAAGATCGGGAGGTAGGGACCATGGGTTACCGTGTTCATTCCCACAAGCCACTATGTCACAGCAAAGGCCCTCACTCACCTTCAGGGCGCTGGGCCAGCACTGCAGTGAGAGATGGAGCACCGTAAGGAAAGTAGGTCTTGAGGGAAAACTTTGTCTACGAGAGTCAGAATGGAAGTGGCATGAATGCTGGGGCTGGAAGGCTGTGAGGACACTACAGACCTCTGCCTGTCTGCCCCAGAGACCCGCTGTACTAACGCAACAGAATGCAGCCTCAAACACTTTTATAAACATGCTTCCAGTAATCTCATAAGTAGCTAAAACAGTATCTTTTAAAAGTCATCTTCTGGAACTTGGGGAAGTCACATTATCTTGCTGCCATCTTTACTGAGGTTTCTCCTCACCCAAACCAAGCCACAAGCATTATCTTCTATTTCAGAGAGGGCTGCTAAACACTTGTGGGACTGAGGATCTCAGTGTGGCATTCATGACAATCAGTCTCTAACAGGCAGCTCTTATGCTGAGAGCTGGAGGCTATACTTACTTACCAGTGCCTCCCAAAGGCACAGAGGTTCTGAAATAAAACAAGCAACAATAAAACCAGGTAAAGTCTACAACACATAAGTTACACAGGCCATAAGTATACAGCTTGATAATCTTGGATGAGTCTGTGAATCCGCCTGACTAGTACCCCATCATGACACACACAATGCTGCTGTCACCTTGGGGAGTTCCCCAGGACTCTTAAAGTCAACCTCCAACCCTAGCCTGGCAATCAATATTTTTATTTCAATAGGAGAGATCAAGAATTAGATCACTTATTCCCAATTTTCACACAAACAGACACACTGAGTGTGCATGCTTCTGCATCTAGTCTTCGTGGTCACAGGACTCATCCGACTGCATACACAGCTCATTCTTTTGCACTGCTTAGAAGTAATGAATATACCCCTCAAAGATGAGTAGAATTAAAACTGCTACTAACATTCAAGTCTGTCTTTGTGGACCGGTCTTTCAATTTTCTAGGGTGAGTACCATGGAAGAGGTAGCTTTTCAAGGCCAACAATGTTCCATTCCCACCATCATGGAATGAGAATTACTTGTCAATAATGGGTGTTCTGGAACTCATTAATTTTAGCTGGTCTGCCTGGCATGAAACATTACTTCACACATGCTTGCTTCTGAGCTTGCTCTGTGTGGCAGGTGATGCTGAACTCTGTTCATGTGCTCAGCAACAGTTTGAATAGCTTTCCGAAGTGTGTATCCAAAAAACAAAAACCTGGCTCTTGTTTCCTATGAAGCTGTAAGAGACAAAGTCTTCTAGAATGAATACTGCAGATACTTCCTCTAAGCTACTGGACAACCTGTTCATCTTCAAAGGCATCTACCACAGAACAGACACTATAATTTAATGAAGCCTATTATCTATTTCTTTCTGTATGGCCAATGTTTTGTTTTGTTTGGAGCATTGTTTCTAGGAAATCTTTGATTATCCAATGTTAAAGAAAAAAAAAAGAGAGATGCTATGACATTTTCTCCTAAGGGCTTTATAGTTTTGACCTTCCTATTGAAGCCTATGATCCATCTCAGAACACGTTCTGTGTGCTTTCTGTGGTGGTCTGAGGTATACCCCCACCCCAATGGGTATCCAGTTGTTTTTATAAACTCCCTCACTATGCTGCCCTAGCATCTCCTGTATCTAGACGCTGTCTGTCTTGTCAACTCCTCACTGGCTTAATTACTCTTAGTATGAGTCCTCAAACTGTTTGCTTTCTGGTTTTGTAGGTCCTTTGTATGTCCAACTTAGTCTGAGAATCAGCCTATGTATTTGCATTTGAGAGAGCCTGCTGCAGGGGCCAGAGTCTGTCATATAAGGCCATAGGCTTGATTCCCAGCCCTGGAGAGGGGTCACTGCTCGCCTGAGAGAAACCAAGAAGCAGAAGGGCAGGTCAGGGGAACAGACCTGAAGGCTCCTGCACATGGCTTCTTGCCATTGTATTTGGGCTGTTTTCGGTTGTCCTCAGCAAAGCAGCTTCCAGGTATTTTATGTGGGGTTGGGTTTGTCCATTTCTGCCATCAGTTCTGCTTCATGCATTCTGAGTCCCTGCATGTTTATGACTGGCATGTCTCCTGATGAACAGATACTCTGTCACTGTGAATGCCACTGTCTAAATCTGTCTTCTCTACACCTGAGAGCCCTGCACTTCCTTTCTGTACAGCAGCTATCTCTCCCTTCACTTCCAGCCACTGTCTTTCGAATGGGGTCTCTGGAAACAACACAGACTTGGTCTGGTTTCAAATCCAATCTGACACACCTGCCTTTTTACTCCATCTTTTGATTTTCATAATTGAGCATCCCTTTAACATGCTGGGATTGAAGCTATCTCTTGACATGGTTTTCTTTTGTCCCATCTGTTTCTTTCCTTTATTGGACATCTAGTAGAGCTCTGTTTCCTACCTCAGAAGTCCTGGGATCACATTGAGCTGTGGTTCCATGCCCTGCTGTCCCAGGGGCCTTAGTGAGAAGTGGGTATAGTTCCCATGCTGAGGCCCTTCCTGTTGTCAGCTTTGTTGGATTTAACAATATTCCACCCAATGTGATAACTTAATCTGTGGGAGACTCAACAGAACCCACTGTTTATCTGTTCAACTGTTGGAACCCCCGCCCCTGACCCATGGCTGCCTGTACTCCACAAAAGCTTAGAGCGCAAGCTCAAGTTCTTGCCTGCTGCTGAGTAGTGCTGTTCCATGCTCCCCACACTGGGGACGAGGAGAGGGTAGATCGGAAAGAAGCACGTACAATTGTGGTGGTACTGTGTTCCCCAAAATATTGTGTACTCTAATAAATTTATCTGGGGTCAGAGAACAGACAGCCAATATTGTGTACTCTAATAAATTTATCTGGGGTCAGAGAACAGACAGCCACTAGATACAAAGGCTAGAAAATGGTGGCACTCACACCTTTAATCCTAGCATTCCAGAGATAG